ACAGCTAGCATATAATCAGATTACCAACGTGCACCAGTGCACACACAAGGCTCTTCTAAAAGCACAAAGAAGTCCTAAAACTCCCACTCAATGCTGTCATTCAATGGTGTTAATTCATTAATGTCATTGTCCATCTTATCAAGAATGAATAGCTATGTGTCCAGTTTATGATGCAACAAGAATTTTTTGTGTTAAAAAAATTTATGGATTGGTCAACCAACGAAAATAAAATGACTTGAAAAAATTCCACACCAATTACTTTTCACACAAAAATTTTCTGATCTACAGCAGCACATGTACATGTACAAATTTGGCAAATTGCTAAATTTTGGCGATTGGTGAATTTTAATTTGGCAAATTTGTGGCCATGTGCCATTGAGCATGCATATAAAGGCTCAAAATGGCAGATTTTTGTTTCGGTGAATGGCTATCAAAATGCCAAACTTGCAAAATTTAATTTCCTCTAAAATTTCCTCCTATACAGCATGGATTAGTTCCTTTGGATAATAAAAGTTCAACTACAAGATGATGTCCTTTTTTGCTGCTACAGTCAGTGGTGTACCAGTATACTAAACATGTAAGATTTTATACAAAGTGCTATGATACCATTTATAGCTATCTACATGTACATGTATACATGTATGTATTATCATGTTGTTAGTAACTCACTTCACTTATAAAGTTTGGATCAGCTCCTTTGGTTAATAAAAGTTCCACCACTTGATAATATCCTTTTGCTGTTGCTTCAATCAGTGGTGAATTAAACTATAGTAACAATGTAAGAATATGCAAATTTTAAAGTTAAACACACAAAAGCAACATGGAGATGTACGTGTACATATACAAGGTACATGTACATGTACTTGTATACATAGTGTGTTTTAGAATGTTACATTGCACTACACCAAGACAAACTTAAATTACTGTATAGTGGCATTTTGTCAGGTTAAACTTTATATTGGGTGGGGAATTCAATTTGGTGGCATTATTTCTGTTGTGGGAAGGGACTGCACTCATCTAGTCCATGTGTTTTTGTAATTTCTAAGGTTTAAGCTATCTTGAGTACACAAGCTGAAATGAATCAAAATTCCTGATTATTACAACTACAAAGCACACTATAATAATTTTTATCACAACTGATCCAATTATTGCCAAAACTTTCAACTAAAGACAAATCATTATTTTTTATTAACTTTTATTACTACACTAAAATTGGGATCACACATATTTCTTTCACATGTACTGTAAACTACAGGTGAAAGCCTGTAGATAAAGATCATTACTTAACGAGACACCGATGGTGCATTGGCCCCGCCAAAACAAAGAAAAACAATATTAATCTTGTTTTACATGCATGATTTCAAAACTATTATTTTGTCCTGCATATTACCACTGTATTAAAAGTTACTTGCTTAGATAGTTTTGATTGCTATACAGTAGTTTTGATTGCATTCTTCATAGTCTAATTAAATGTGGGGGTGTTTGGGTGTGGCTGCAAACTGACAGCATGGCCGTTAAATGTGATACAAGAAGGCAAAACTATAAATTAAGTACAAGAGCATCTTTGGAACAAGTAAAGCAATCAATTAAATAATGAACAGGTGTGGTATTAGATAGTAATAAATAATTAATAATTCAAGAGTTTATTATTTGTTGCTATGCTCAAGCCCACAAAAAAACATGTTTTCTGCTATTCTAATGTACATGCATTAATGAACATGAAGTACATTTATAATACTAACACAATCAAATTTTTGGCCTATGTTTGGATCAGCTCCATTATCCAACAGTACTTTTACAGTCTCATAGTCTCCTCCTCTTGCTGATACAATAAGAGCAATATCACCTTCCTGTAAAAATAAAATAATACTACATGTACAATAATACTTTGAATAGCATACAACCAAAGTTCTGCCTAAGGTGGTCGGGGGTGGTCAGTACAACTGTCTCAACAAATGAACAACCAGTTCATCACTTAGACCATCCATACAATTAATATTAACTAGGGAGATTGCAGTACATTAAGGGGGCGAGCCTAAGCAAGGCATAGATTATCTATGTGCTGTATGATATATGAGCAAGCAAAGCAACTATACAAGTTGAAGGCTAAACAGTAGATCTAGTCACTTCATGCAACACTCAAGAATCTCAGTCTGCAGCAATTAAACTTATCTTACTGATGCATTAAACATGCTTAGAAGGAGTCACTGCACAAATCATACTAAAAGATTGTGCATCTGCTTTGTTAACCTAGGCTTGCAGCTAGAGAAGAAACATCACCTAGAATAGATCTCACCTTGCAGCTAGGCTACAGTACATGAAACTTTCTCACTTGCATTAAAAACTTATCAGAGTCCTTTATAATAAGGAAAAGACTGTATATCTGCCTTTCCAACCTTTATTCTTGCTAGAGAAGTTTTTATACAGCAGTTTAGTCTTATCTTGCTGACTGTTTGCTGCAATTAAGCTGACAGCCGCCTTTTATTTATTGTGACCACACCTGTTTCAATGAAGATTAGGTTATTTAACTTTAATAATAGTTAGACGACCTGCCCGTACATACATACATATAAACAAACACTTTCTCGCCTTAGTGGGGTGAGCTCAGGCTCACCCCAATAACCATACATAAAGCATGATATTGTAGTCTACTAGTATGGCATACATAAATTTAAAAGAAATAATATTAGTCTCCGACCACCTCTAATTTTTTCTAGGCAGAACCTGGTACAACAATATAACTACTGCATAGCTGATAATTTAGGGAGAGAATCAATTTGGTAATTTGTGACAGCCATTCATCAAAATAAAAATGCATTATTTCGTGCATGCATGTTTAAAGGCACATGCCACAAACTTGCATAATTAAAACTGAATCACCAAAAACTAGTCATTCCACTTATTTGTCAAATACCGTATACCCTTGTATTTTTGTGGTGAAATATTGTAGTTAATTTTGAGTTTTTTTGCTTTGTTGCAAAAATTTTTCACCATGAAATTTAGCATCTCCATTGCCATGTGGTGCAGTCGGTAAGCTATTTGCAAAAATTAATTTTGCAAAATCTTAAAATGGAAGGTTTATGAAAATTTTCCACCACAAAAATAAACCAGTATATAGTATACAACTTCTCCAAATTTATACTAAGCAACATGCTAGCAACATTTGTGGTTACTTTGATCTTGTAATCTAGGAATGGAAATCTGTTTTACAAGTTGATTTAAATTTATTCACAAGATCAAAGTAGCCACAAACAAGTTGCTTAATGAATGCTGGCTTTGACTATATACATTTTAAGCTACAATGCTGATATTGACTAACAGTGCATTAAACATGTTATTACATGCATGTACATGTACAATACTCAGTTACTCACATTATCCATTATGTTTGGGTCAGCTCCTTTGGTTAATAAAAGTTCCACCACATGATGATGTTTGTTGTTTATTGCTGCCATCAGTGCTGTAGTACCATGTTCCTAATATAATTTAAATGATAAAAAATGACAAATTTGCTATTAATACCAATCGGTGTGGTTTAACATGTTAATGGATATGAACTGAACAACAGTAACAAAACACAAACATAGTACACACAAGCCTACATGTAAAAGGCTACAACTACAGGTACACCTGCAGCAATGAACCATTTAAATTTAAGCACGGAATCAATTTAAGGCTGCTAAACTAAGTCGCAAAAGTTATGTTGTTCTTAATAGGCGGGTGTCGTTTGCAAAGTAATACATTATTTTGTCATTTTCTTTTTGTCTATCCTAAGCTTATCATACTTGCTGCTAATATAATGTACATGTACATATATTAATGAACATGCAGTACACATTGTCAGTATACATGTAAATGATACTATGAGGTACACATGCAATGCATGTAAAATACTAACATTATCCCATTCTTGTACATTTGGATCAGCTTCATTATCCAGCAGTAATTTTACAGTCTCATAGTCTCCTCCTCTTGCTGATACAATAAGAGCAGTATCTCCATCCTGTAATAACAAAATAATACTATAATACTTTCCCAATTAACTGCATGAGGTTGAAATGTAAATTTAACAAGATGCATTGTCAATTTGTTGCTAAAACATGCACTCATTAAACCAGGGTAGGCCTGTGGCACTTATACAGTGCAAATGACAAATTAATTCTTGTTGCCGAAACAATCCCATACTATAGTAAAACACAGTCAAGGCAGACTGAGAATTGTGATTATAACAGGGAAAAATCACAAAAAAAGTCTGTAAGTCTATTCAAACATGCGACCCTTGATGCTGGGGTACTTACTGTCCTTTGCACCCTTTGAATTGCCATGATGTGATGCATAGCTCTGTCACATGGGGATTTATTTAAAATGTTGGCGGAGCCAAGCAAAACTACTGCTTAAAATATTTGATGGCATGTACAGTCTCGAGAAAAAAAGGGTTGAAACATCTTATAAAGATACCGTATACTGATTCATTTTTTCAGCCATCACAAAAATTAATGTTGCAAAATTCTGCATCTCTATTGCCATTTGTAAAAATTTATTCTACAAAATCTTAGAAAAGCAGGTTTCACAATAAAATTTCCCTGTATGTATAGAACATTATTCTTTTGTTCTTTCCAGATCTTTTCTTTGGATGTCTCTCTCGCTCTTTGCTCTCTTAGTTTTTCTTATTTGATTATCACTTGTAAAGTGTTGAGAGCTGTTTATTTGTTTTCATATAATTTGTCAAGTCAAAAAGGGGAGAAGTCTGGCTACGTGAGACTATCTATCTCCTAGGAGAACCTGACAGTCCTGTGACTGTGTGGGAGAAGCTAACTTCAGAAAAAACTGATGCTGAGGAAGAAGCTCTAAAATTAAAGGAAGGAGACTCCGTTTATGATTACATCAAAGCTATGATGGAAACCTTTAAGGAGATGTCTGTTATTGGAGCTGAGATGACAGAAGAAGACAGAGTAGTCTGCCTGACTCCAATAGTACTCTAGTCACAGCACCTGGGGCTAGACCAGATGTTCAAATAATAGATACAGTAGTAGAGAAGCTGCTGCATGAAGAGCAAAAGAGTAAGGATTGTACTGGTAACAAGAGTAGTTCAACTGAAGGAGCAATGAATTTGTCTTATCATAAGAAGAAAGGGCTAAGGTGTTATAACTGTAAAAGATTTGATCATTATCAATGAGATTGTAAACAGAGAGAATCAAAGGATTATAGTTAAAAATTGAATCATAGCAGTTGATCAAGAAATCACTACAGGTCTGCTAACTGTGCTACAAGGCTAGCAAACATTGACCAGATGATAGCTCTGAGAGTGATGAAGTTGAATTAGTAATTGATGATGCTCTGACAGCAGAGGCATCCAGTACAATCAATGGAAAATGAATCTTAGATTCTAGAACCACTTGTCATATTTGCAGTGATCACAGCCAATTTGTCCAGCTATCCACTTAAAAAGAATATCAACCACAACTGCTATAGTTGATGAAGCTTTCATTTGTTCAAATTGTGAGAAATGGAAGAAAACAATGGATCAAAAGTATATCACTCTCATGTCTAATGACGTAGTGAGAATTTGTTAAACTTTTGAAAAATAAAAATGGTGAGCAGTAAAAGGATCTTATTTATTATAGCTACAGGAAACACTGATCAATATAAAGCTAGACTGGTAGATCAAGGGTATTCCCAACGACCTGAAGTTCATTATATCAAGATTTTTTTGCCAGTTGTAAGGGTTGAATCTTTCAGGATGATTGCTGCTCTAGCTGCTCAAAATAATCTACAACTGCATCAGATGTATGTTAAAACTGACTCTCTAAATGGAGAGCTAAAAGAAACAGTTTACATGAAGTAACCAGAAGAGTATGGAGAGAAAGGCAAAAAAATTTATTAATAAAATGCAGCATTCGTAGTCTCAAGCAATCCCCCCATTACTGGAACTATATCTTAGATTCACAACTGAAGAAGATGCGATTTGCACAGTCATTAAACAGTGATCCATGACCATCTATTTCTGCCACTGGAAAGTCATTCATAATTGCTGTGTATGTGGATGGCATATTATTAGCAGGAAGGTCTACTTAACAATTAAAAAGAGTTAAAAAGCCAGTTCAAAGTCTAATCATTAAATCAGCATTTCAAGCAACACATAAAAATAAAAAAAACAGTGAATAAAGTGATTCACTAACAATTTTTTAAATAATAAGTAATAGCATAGCTAACTATAAGATATAGTAAATGGGACTGGGTAAAATAGGGACTGGGAAAAACTGGGTAAAATAGGGACCGGGACAGGGACTGGGATTGGGAAAAACAGGGTAAAACAGGGACCGGGACAGGGACAGAGACTAAAAAAGTAGAGTAAAACAGGGACAGGGACTGGGAGTCTGGGACTGGGGGAAATTGGGTAAATAGGGACTGGAATTTTAGGCAAAGTAGAATGAAAGGACTGGGATTCGCAAGAATGGGAGAACTGTAGCGTGAGACTGTTGCAGATCTCAATAAATATCAAGACAGGACAAACTATCAGAAAACATGCATAAAGAACATAGATTGTGACTATAATTTAGTTTTACTATAAATTGAAATGTTTTTTGATCACTATTGATACAAAATTATCACTAATGATAAAAACAAAAAAGTAAGCATAAGAACCAGTTTTATGTTGTATATTTTATGTTTTAAGACTTTGAAATCTTTGTTCTTTCGTTCAGTGGTCCTAGACCATTGTAGTAAAGTTCTCTACCATGCCACTGGATTACACTACTATAGTGAACAGAACTATGTACAGAAAAACCTTCTAATCTGTATACAGCACAAAATACTTATTTATTATGAAGAAAAATTAGTGTCTAGTTTGACTTTAATTAGGTATACTAGGATTTTTACAGGAAGCTATCAGGAACACTATAGGGATATCACATAAATAAAAGTAATAAAAAATGCATTATACAGAATGTTAAGTATTGCTATTATTTTACTTTTATAAACAGTATAGCTCTAAAAGTTAGAGCTGGGAGATGTAGAAATGCACATAAATTTAGTTAAAACAGGGTTACATCCAGTTCCATCATTGATTACTTCAATTTATATACATGCCTATAGTGCATTCAATAATGTACTTCAACAACTGGAATTCACCTGCACATTTGATTGCATCTCAGCGTCTTAGTATACTACAAATTTTTCTTCATCTAAGTTACAAACTTCTTTTGAAAGATGCATGGCAATAATAATGGAAGAAAGTAATGGATCAAAAGTATATCAATCTCATGTCGAATGACGTAGTGAGAACTTGTTAAACTTCTGAAAAATAAAAATGGTGTGAGCAGTAAAAGGATTTTCTTTATTAGAGCTACAGGAAACATTGCTCAGTATAAAGCTAGACTGGTAGATCAAGGGTATTCCCAACGACCTGGAGTTCATTATATCAAGGTTTTTTTGCCAGTTGTAAGGGTTGAATCTTTTAGGATGATTGCTGCTCTAGCTGCTCAAAATAATCTACAACTGCATCAGATGTATGTCAAAACTGACTCTCTAAATGGAGAGCTAAAAAGAAACAGTTTACATGAAGCAACCAGAAGGGTATGGAGAGAAAGGCAAAAAAATTTAGTAATAAAATGCAGCATTCGTGGTCTCAAGCAATCCTCCCATTACTGGAACTTTATGTTAGATTCACAACTGAAGAAGATGCAATTTGCACAGTCAAACAGTGATCCATGACCATCTATTTCTGCCACTGGAAAGTCATTCATAATTGCTGTGTATGTGGATGACATATTATTAGCAGGAAGGTCTACTCAACAAATAACTGAAGCAAAAAAGAGTTAAAAAGCCAGTTCAAAGTCTAATCATTAAATCAGCATTTCAAGCAACAAATAAAAATAAAAAACAGTGAATAAAGTGATTCACTAACAATTTTTTAAATAATAAGTAATAGCACACTTATTTACTATACCTTATTTACTATAAGGTATAGTAAATAAGTAATAACAATAATGAAGTGGTCATAATTACCGTATAAGTTTTGAATTTAAGATATGAGAGTGAGTTTCAGAGAGAAGGAAAGATGATTCCATTGGTTAATTGCAGAGTAATACAATGAATTTTGGTAAGTAGATGAATTACAAGTCATTTGTGATAGATTGCCTTTATCATTAGATCTTAAGAAGTAAGAATCTTTAGCTAGCAGAAGGTGAAACAGAGGGAAATAGAGACCTTCCTTAAATAGGCTAATCATTTTAAACTTGAACCGGCAATGTGATAAGGAATGAATGTGAGACTGTAAAAGTAGTTGTTGATATATTATTTAAGAGCAAGTTTAAGGCCAAAATGCTAAACTTCATCTAGCCAAGACGACACTGAAGGAGAGGAGGGGTCCTAAATTAGGGGAGGTATACTCAAGAATAGGACAAATGAGAGTAACATATAGGTGGAGAAGGGTCTCAGGAGATGAATGTTTGTAAAAGTTACAATAAATGAGACCCAGTACTTTCTTGATTATAGTTGATATTTGGTCTTTCCAGGACAAGCTGCTTGTGAATATTAAATCAAGGTAATTATAGAAGGATAATCAACTAATTGGTATTGGCTTAAGATAGAAGGGAGCTAGGCAGAACGTCAAAATTTGAGTGATGATAAAGTGAAAATATCATAGATTTAGACTTACTATTATTTAGAGAGTGAGAGTTAGACAGTATCATAGAGCAAGTGGAGTCTATTTCAGATTGGAGAGAGGACCAGTCACTTGAGCTTGAAAGAGGGTAGAGTAGTAGGATGTTTTTGGCAAAAAGAAACATTTTGGGTTGAAAAGTGAAGTGGATGTGGGAGGTTAAGTGCCAAAAGTTTGTCTAGTAATATATGATAATTAACTAAATTAAAAGCCTTCTTCCAATTTTAAAACAAGCCACATACAGGCACAGAGCAGTCTAATGAGGATAAAATAAATCGAGTTACAGTGGCTAATGCAGTAGTTGAAGAACATTCCGGAAGGAAACTGAATTGTGAATCTAAAATTAATCCTTTTGAGAGT